TGAATGTTGTAATTTTAATGTTGTAGGGGTCATTGTAGCCTTGCCCAAGTCGGTATTTATTTTTACTTATCTGATCTTGAATTATTACCGCCTTGTACAATCCAATACATCTCCGCTGTTATTATGCGGAAATATTCAACGGTTTCGAGATTTCCATAATACCTACGCTATCAGGGGTATCGCGAAACCTTATTAGTTGACAGATAACGCGTGGACACGACGTGTGACTTCAGGCTGAATGACCAATCAAAACGTTATCAGGCGGAGCTGCATAAACAAAACAAACTTCCCATCTACGACTTGAAATTCAATGATCTGATCGAGTGTTTCGTTAGAGTTACAATATATAATGTAATTAAATGTACATTCGAAGGTAAGAGTCATTAATATAAATTAAATCATGCGATTTAATGTTGATTTAAAACTGATTTCGCGATGAAAATGCACGAAGACCTAGTCCAATGTAGCTCATGTTGTCGTCGATCGATCGGTAATTGAATCTCAGCCTACATGTTCAGCGATCGTTTCAACGTTTATTGTTGAAATCTTCTCACCTTTGGTTATCCGATCGATGCCCCGTCATCCACTAAACTCTCATTGATATTTATCTGATAAAATATTTGTATTTTCATAATGAATTCGTGTTCAGATTCGTGCAAGATTTGTTCATGAAAAGTCCCGGTGAAAAGTGTACTTGTTTTTGACCGTGCATAATAATGAGCTAACGCTACAGGGCCGTCGTTGATTGGTCAAATTTTACCGACATCAACAAACTGTCGGTAAAGCACGTGGCTTTCTCTTTGGTACAAGGCGGTCATAATGGAAATCAAGATAAGCAAAAGAGACCGACTTGGGCAAGGCTAGGGTCATTGGCGTAGGAACAATACGTACGATCAGTATGCAAAAACGCAAATGCGTAGTGTTGAAAAGTGAGAGTAAAAAATAAAATAATCACTATGTTGTTCAGTTATATTTTCTCATTGTGAGTTCAAAATAAATGGTTTGTGATCTCGAGCACACAAAAGAAATGTTTTTGGACACATAAAGACTATTCCTAATACATAAGGAAATTCACCAAAATGATGAAGAGGTTCTTGCCACTTTGAGAATAGACCAAGAAAACTGGACTTGGTTCCAAAAAATTTAATTGCTTACATGTACCTCAGACATGCCAACATACAATTTATGGGGGACCTATTGTAAAAGTCTTTTTTCCTTAAAACATTCATCCGTTTGGAACCGGTTTGCGTAATATCGTGCCACCTATTTGACATCATTTTTCTTGACATCTATACTATTTTCTTTAATTTATATTGTCGTCTTGCACAGTACACAATGAAATCAGACAAGAAGTATTACAATTGTCTATTTTACTCATTCAAAAAGACTAAACACACTTGAGGGACTCATTAACTGACGTTAGTTATCTGACGATTGATGATTGTTATCTGGAATATAGTTTTATTACCAATATGAAAATTGATCGCCTGTACCATTCGGGAAAATAAACATTTTCATAAGAAAAGTGAGAATGAGATCTGTCGAAATTTCAAAGATCGGCTTTTTATCTTGATATTCATTGATGAAAAACAATATAACCACATTAATAGAAAAGTATTTCCATAAAGATGATGTTTTGCAAACATAAAATACGTATTTTGATATATAAGATTTGACAGTTTTTTCATTTTTTGCATAGTGTTGAATTTACACCTTCCTACGCCCCTAAGGGTAATATACAAGATCAATGACGTTGGTTAATAAGTTTTACAAGTAGCAGATTTACTTCCATAATATTCATATTCGATGTCAAATCTTAATTTATGGAATCTTTTTACTCCTTTAAATGTTTAATTAAGGATAAACATTAAATTGAAAATTGTGTAGCATATACAGGCTCAGTACAAACAATAAGACTGGTAACAATTGCTGTCTAAAGTCTTTCCCTGTAGATGGAGTTAGACACACAGTTCTACTCGTAATATTGAACAATCTATTGTTTAATCTGTCCACGTATTCATTCCAAAATTTCATCTTTGTGTACCGGTGGTATCTATCTTCGAACGATGCGCTGTTGATGGTTAAGTATCTTTGTTCTGCCACTGATAATTCTGGCCACACTGGTGAATTTGGCACAACCTCTGGGGTGTTTGGGTTTCTATAACACAAAAGACCAGGTTTAGTATGGCAAGTGACTTTGGAAAGTCATATCTTTTTCCATGAGTACATTCCGGCCATAAATACAGTGGTTCTTATTAAGACAATATTGTTTTTCTCAATTTAAATATATATCAAAAGCTTCTTCTACACTATATTAACAAGTTCCGAAAGGGGGATGGAGATTGAAATGCGATAAAGCTAAAAACCACAAATCCCATGTTATTTTCCATAGAGAAAACTCATGCTTTCCATTGTTTTCAGTATACTTTTGGTCATCGAAAATTGATATCTTCAAAAACTAGACTTTAAATCCATTTCACCTTTGTATAAGTTCTAGACCCCTTGTTCAATAATATTTTCATGCAATAAATATCAGAAAAAGACGATCCTCTTTTGATTTAATTGGTTCAACATTTTGAAAAAATGATGACACGGGGTCCTTATTCATAATTTTTCGACTTGTTTGATTGAGACTGTATTATCCTTGAGAATTTACTTGAAAGATAATATATTGTGTTAATGGGAAATGCTGCCCATAGCCAGATTTTTCCAAGGGGGGGGGGGGGGGTTGCCAAGCGGGGGGTACACTTTTGGCTAAAATATCATGCGAAAAGTGCTCAGAATGATGAAAAAACTGCATGATTTTGTATGAATTTGTCGCCGGGGGGGAGGGGGCTTCCGGTCCCCAGCTCCCCCTGGCTACAATCATTTACCATGTAGTCTAATGTGCAAAGGTACACATCTAATAGACCTTAGGTACATTGATAAATTGGGTTTATGGCACCATATTCTGGATAATACTCTGCCTAGTAAGACATTTTAGTCCATTCCATGCATTGTACATGTGAGAGATACTCCTTCATTATGTAAAATATCCTTGCAGAACAGTAAAATACTGTTGTACATCATACAGAAATTAATCAAATTTGCTTTTAGATATTCTGTTGTGTTGTATTGTGTTGATCACTGTGACCATATTTGGTGACACATCTTAGCATGTTTTATACTTTAAATATTACACGGAAAGGCCAAGCATTAAGCAGTCATCCTTGAAGGGACTTAAAGGTTGAATAAAGACTATAGAAGAAATTTGGGAGTCATTTTACCTTTCCAGAGCTATTAGTGCAACGTTTGGCCTAATGTCTTCTTCGCCATACCTATTTTCTTAAAATATATGCACTTGTCGACGAATACCACCAATCAGACTTGGAAATAGACTTCTAGATAAGCAATTGAAAGGTTGGACGTCTCGCATTTTTTTAAACATTTCTAAATCTCCATTTAAAATTCTTGCTGCAGCTGAGATTAGATAAGACCGCATACCGCGGTGGTCTAACATAACCGTTTGCATGGTACACGACATGACCGCTCTTGCAGTTTGTCCGGCCCACTTACGAAGAAAAATCAAAAATAATCGAAAACTAAAATACCTTATATCTACCCATATTCAAGATCTCTTGACACGCGCATGGTATCTTACAAACATAATGATGGATAGAACGTTTGGGGAAAGCGGGGCTGGAATCGAATGACAATATGACCGGGAAATGATTAAAAGGTACGTGAGCATTTTTTCTGTCCATGATTATTGGTTTCGGGAGAAGATTCCCGGGGATTTAGGATGATAATGATTGTGAATATCTGCAGAAACTAGGTAGATTCGGGGTTTTTCTTGGTAGCTAATGAAAATTGATGTTAGCCTTGATGAAATATCCAAACTTCGATATATTTTGACACCAGGTCCATGATCGTTGGATACATCTCTGCACTATTTATCCAACCTTTAATATTGCATCAAATGACCTAAAGGCAGATGAGTAAAGTCTGATCAGAGATATCTTAATGTGACGCTATACCCCATCGAAGGTTTGGCAACATTAACTTACCAATTGAACCCACCTGTGAATGGATGTATGTGTTTAAAAAGACATATACATGTATAGCAATTCAGCTTCACACCTCTTGATTGAAGTAGTGTAATATATACAATGTATGTCACTACTTTTGATGGTGACATAAAAACCAAGACCTACCCCATTTTTATGAAGTTTGCCCAAAGTGTCATCATCGTAAGACTAACATTTCTATCCTGGTTGGTCCAATTCTGTTTTGCCCAGCGTGTCGTATGACATCCCCATGGACACGTTTCATTCTTGAAAAAGGGTATACCAAACATGTAGTCAAGCTCAGCACCGTGTATAACACCTGGAATAATACATTTATTTCCAAAACTTGATCAAGTGCATGGAATCTCTTCCAATTTACCTTTGGTTTCCTCATTTCTAATGCCCTCTCAAACTTTAAAGAATGAAAATTTTTCATGCTGATCAGGACAAATAAAGCAAGCGTATTTGTCATATATGAACACACTTCTCATTTCCCAGGAATTTGTTCATCAGAATCCATTGAAAAATCTTGGAGAATATTTTGAGACTAATAAAGGTTTCCTGGAATATTTTTTCTAACTGGCCATTTGAGGACAATCATTCCTTCTTACGTTCATACAATTAAAGCCTTTGTTACTGTTATAGTAAAATCAATATAATACTGAATTGCGTGAAGTGCCCCATATTCAAGATATAAGAGCAACAATGAAGTTCGCAGGGCAAGAAAGCAAGACTATTACGATGATCGATATAAAAAAATGCAAAAAAACTCATATCAATGACAGCTCGCATCGATTTACTAATATTATAGAACCATACCTTTCCACACTGGCTCTGGACAGTTGATTGATCTATGTTCAAAACTATAGAAATATGTATTGTTGACTTGTCTACAGTGGCCAAGGGAGTGCTCTATGGCTGGGGCTGTGTATGAGTGATCCGTATTGAACTAAAATGAACCAAATTTCAATTAAATCAATCCATGTTTTTTTTCGTTATGCATCGTACAGCATTGTACAGTGACTTGCAATCATTAGTAATTTGTTATGCCTCCGTCACATTTGATCTACGGCAACCACACGGCGGCTTTAGCGTCCCAAAATCGAGAGAAATATTCAGTAGTACCATGTCGATTCTCTATATCGATGTTATGAACCTACGGCCGCCCTACGTCCACCGTAGAGCGTATGTGAACGAGGCTTAAGTTACCTCTATATAGATGTCTCGATGTCTATCTACATTATTGTATGGGTCTGGGTGGTACTCTTGGGTAAATGCATCATACATAAAACCTTGGTGATTTTCCCGTTTTCGGCTGTACTCAAAAAGCTGAGATAACAAGTATGACCGTGTATAGCCATTCTCCGCTCCAGTGTCATCTTAACAAAATAAAGAAGATCGTTATTGCTAAACGTTGCTTTCCATATTTAATTGGACATTTTATCATGACAAGTAAACATGCTTGAAAGTGGATTCTTAGTATCACGGTCATAGTGAGTTGAATTATGCTTACTGATAATTTTGTCACATAATACATTTTTTACATTAATTCATCAGATCCATCCTCCTTGTTAGCCCCTGTTATCATTGGGATTTTCCAAAACTTGCCTCTTCTAATGAGCTCCAAAGGATCTTCCAGGATATAGTACCCATCAATAACCGGGGCCCATGCCGATGTGAACCAGGGACTCTAAATTATAACAGTTTACAAACATGTTTATCCAAAAATATCCAAAGATTTAAAACGCAGAACACTTGCTATATCTTTCAATAGCCGTTTCTGCGCATGGTGTTTTTTTATTTCAAAACTTTTCCTTTTTTTCAAATTGGCCCTCGACTTTACATTTTTTATCTCGGTGCACTTGGTTTTAGATATTGACATCAAACAAAATGAATTGCAATTATATCTCTAAAAACCAGTAGATCTCCGCTGTTTATTTGTTAACACACGATTTTTTATTTCTTACAGACACATCATTCTCCCCTCTTTGAACAAGTTCGGAATATGGTTTTCCACGCATGCAAGTAATTAATGCTTTTGAAGACTGTTGGGGACATCCAACCAGTCGACCAAGCTCAAAAGCATATGGACGAGCAGTTTCATGTTGTCTTTTGATTCCCCAGTAACTGTTTGCCTGTCCACTTTGTGGAATAACACCGTGGACCAGTCCTGTAAAATGGAAATAGGGAGGTTAAGCTTCGCGTTTTATGAAAAATTTAACGTAAACTTGTAACTTATAAACGTGTAAAACTTATGAGAAAATAGTTGAATAAAGAACCTAAAAAGGGAACGATTCCCCGGGGTCAAAATATTACAGACTTACATACACGTTCTCTTAAAAACATGGCTACCCTACCGTTCATCTTGTTTTGTATGAACAACAATTAAACAACAGAGGCACATACATATGTGTATCATCGGCATAGTCCACATCAAGCGACAAAACCACTGTTGTCGTAGTTCAACACTCACTTGTAGATACATGAGCATTCTTCAAAATTCGTTCAGTGTAATACTTTATATGATACTGTATATTACCCCGGGAATATGCCACGCATTACCTTTGGTCAAGGGAGAGAATAAATGCAATGTCGTAGCCACCCCTCCAGAGCTCTCTCCACCGACTGTAACTCGGTTAGGATCCCCTCTAAAATTCCCTATGTTCTCTCTTATCCATTCTAACGCTTGGACCTGGTCCAGCTGACCGTAATTTCCTCTTGCCTCGGCATCATCAGTCGAAAGATAGCCTACGTATCAGAAAAAGATCATGTAGGAGTTTAACTATGTGATGGGATTACACCAAGTTAGGCAAAATGAATTATTCTAGAATGAATATCAAGGAAGGATTATAAAAAACTTGTGAAGAAGCATACAACTAACAAACTTGCGTTCGACGTATTAATTTCCATCTTGATTCTGGAATTTCCAGTACTTGTCTAAAGTCATGTGTTGCGTTGCAAGTCGAAGATGCATAATTTACTACATATGATGAGTTTATTAAAAACCAGACAGTTAGCTTCTAACTTTATAAGACGGTCATATTTGTAATCGTATGCATGTCTCACCTAAGACACCTATTCTGTACCCCATGGTGACAACAACGATATCTTTCTCCACCGCCAGCACACGCCCATCATATTCTTCCGCTGCTCCATAATAGAAATTCCCACCATAAATCCAAAGGAACACTGGGTACCGTACTGCGGGGTCATGGGTCTTTTATGAAAATTATCAGAATTTATTAATCTTCATATTGACAGAGTATAGGAGCAAAATATCCATGTAGGGCTTTCAATTAAGCACGGACTTGGGATGATAAAAATTATCATTAAATTCATCTAATTGACGGTACTTCTCTTAATTCGTACGGTATCCAAAGTAAAGTTCGTTGTTTTTGTTGGTTTGATATAACAATATTATATAATTTCTCTTGTTTAATTCTAGCTACACCGACGGTGTTATGTTTTCTTTAGTAAATCTCGTAATTTTGAGACACGCGTGTTGTACTACACCTACCTTTGGTGAATAAATATTGAGGTAGAGACAGTCTTCATCTGTGTTGTTCCAAGTTGGTCCAAAGCTCCAACTGGAGGAAAATACGAAGTAAAAACCTGAGACAATGTGCGGGTTTGTATTCGGATTGCATTGATAATACTATAGCAGTTACATTTAGTGTCTTGTTTCATTTACTTAATATCATAGTAACATTGGATATTTGACAGCTCTCCATTTCATGATTGAGTGTACGACTTGAACTGTAAGCGTCGTTATATGAAAACAGCATTGTTCCATAGATTCAGTTCCTGAAAGTAATCTAAAACACTTTAATACTTACTCTCTCACGCTACCTAGATCCTGGGGGCATGCAGGCTTAAAGGCAAGTGTATCCAGGATATCAGGTGCCCATGATATTGGAGGCTGAGGATTGCTCCACCTTAGGTCTCCAACTGGAGGGGCTGCATATGGAATCCCTGTGTAAACTTCCAACGATTTATTTGCATATGTGGTTGACACACTGTGCCCTCTCACGCGTCCGAATGTTGTATTGGTTATTACATGCACATTTGATGCCGTCGCTTCAAGTGTGAAAAGGAAGACCAAATAAACACTTTTCATTTTAATTGCATGTATGGTTTAACCATGGAGGTAATCAGTTCACAACATAAGTCAAAAGTATCATGTATTAAGGCATCTTAATAAATAATTAACATCATCGGCCGCTGAAGTGTTATAAATTGCAATTAGATAGATCTAAAATTTTCAAAAATACGAAACTACTTGACTACAAGGTCAAGTTTATCTCATCATATAACGTAAGATATGAAATGACCAAAATTGTACTTTGTCCGGAAGGGGGATTCGTCTTAAGATATCTAGAATGAACCATGGGTAGTAGTTTTTGTTTACCGTTTGGGTATAAAAATGATGGTAGCGTTTGTAATCAATTGTGCTAACTCAAAATTCACGTTCTAACTGATATCCTCATGAATTTCTACCCTTTGCATTCGTTTGACTTCACTTCTTAAAAGAGAGCTTCATCTTCAGGTCAAATTTGGCCGACGAGCACTGATTGGCGCGCTGAGTTCACAGGTTTATTTTAGTTTGAAAGAGTGAAGACGAAGCTCTCTTTTAAGAAGTGAAGTCGAACGAATTCAATGTAGTTTAACTAGACTCTACACGCAGGGTAATGAATTTCTCATGCAAAAATGAGATTTTTTGTGTTAACTCTTTATAATATATAAACGTATAAAATAAAATACAATATTTTGTGATTAAACAATTTCTGCATAAGGCTACGTTGTAGGTAATACGTAAATCAAATATGACGTCTATATGCTCATTGGCATCATTGTTTCTCTCAAAATAATGATGCTATAACTTTGTTTAAGGTACATCGTTAATATCAAGCAGATGATGCGTAATTTACTTAAAGAATAAAAGTCCGTAATGTTATATTTGCCATTTGTGCGCATGTATTTCAACAGTCAACATAAAATCAGTGTACATCAATGTGATATAAAATTATGTAAGTTGTTGTGAATAGTAAATCACAATGTTTTTATGAATTCAAATAGCCTTATGAATAGTAAGGCTAATCAATAGATGTCAAAAACACAGATACAAAGTGCACATAAGTTCAGTTGAGAAAAGTAACACTGAGACTAAACTGGCAATAATATGTACAGATGAGATGAGATGAGTTGGGAAAAATGAGATAATAAGAAATAAGACAATTAGAACAGTTAAAACCTAGTTATACTTAGAAGTAACTTTCAAGACCATTATACAATACAATACATGAGGTACCCTACTAATATCGACATAGACAATCGTTACGTCGGGGCGCCCCAGGTAAGAACGAGGACTGGGTAAGGTAATGTAATTAAGACGGCTTCAATCAACTAACAATACAGTGTTTAAGCTTGCAATGTTTTTCACAACCTAAACGTGAACAGAAAAAAATATTTAAAGATGCATTTGTATGGGCGATTGGCCATACGTATAGGTTAGCGTTTCGATTTTATTTGCAAGCTTAAACTCCCTACTATGTTACATGTCTAGATATTCCTTTAGCTCAACACACTTAAGATGGAAAACAGCAATAGCAAAGCAACTGTAATGGAATGTCCCAAGATTGATCCAGTGGAAGATGTACAGGGTGTTCCTGTTTCACCCGATCCATCAGCAGTTGAGTTAGTTATAGTAATGCGGGAATGCAGGCCAGCAGTTACAGGTGACATTTTTCGGATATATCTCTCCATAACTTTACTGTCCATGTCCCCTGAAAATAGTAAAATATAAATGAAATTTTCCTAAGAATATATTCATTCTCAAAGGTACCTTTAGAATTACCTTATGATATATACATAGGTTAAGTATTCCGAAAACGACAAATTTCTAAAAAATAAGCGTCTATTCAGCGAAATAGTTTGGAATTTTAGGGCTAAAATTAGATAGAGTTGAGTTATGAATTGAGTCGGGCTACGGTACAATCAAAATGAAAAGAATTAATACAAAATCAAAAGGTTTTAGGTTAATCCGTTCTTATTTCATTTTATTTCAGACTCAGCTAAAGCCTTGACTGTAGTTAACAAAATATCATAATCCTATAAATAAGCATACCCATAGCAATATGTTGTATTTTATTATCCCTGATGACAGAGTAGCCATCCCCTCCGTTTGCAATATACTCGTGCATCACAATCTTGTAGTGTTTGGCCATGTCCAGTTCTTCAAGTTTGGGCACCATACAATCTGAGCACCTTGCCTTAAGACTTACGACTCTGCTTCCTACTGGCTTAGCAACGTTGTACACGACTTCAAATCCTGAAATATGAATACAGTTGGATATATATGATTTTGTGTTTTTCCCCTGTGTGGTACTTTTATCTAAAATAATTTAAATACCATGGTAATTACGATCAGTTGGCTTTTAAATTCCAATATGAACATTGTTAGATGTATCTAACAACAATTGTATTACTGATATTTCTGCCCTATACATTTTTTCATGTTGGACTATAAACGATATATTGGGGTGATCATGTATCAATCTTCGTAGCAGTTCGTTCAGGGCGCTGCTTACCAGATGAGTTCCTCAAAAAATAATTAAGGAGGATAGCATGAAACGAATCGCCTGGAGATTTTTCAAACATATTAAATCACCTGATACTTGGAGAAAATTTCCTTTGCCCTCGCTATATCTAGAGACGGAGTGTTCAAACATATCCAAAACTGTTTGGCCTGTCAGCTCCACTATGTCCGCCGCATTTTGATAGGGTAACACATTTAGTATATCTTCAATTGTGATTTCTGCAAAAAATGAATACAACTGAGAGCAGTGCAGGCATTCCAATCCATGAAAAAGTTTTATTATGCACCTATATTTTTGAAGTATTTGCATTAACTGCCCAAATCATGGCATATTATATATGCATTCCCGCTTGTAGAGGAACTGGCGGCGTCCATATACCTATGATCCAATGGAGATTTCTTGAGCAGAATATACATAATGGTTATTAGTTTACTTTTCTTTATATTTTCAGCACATCAGGTGAATATATTATGTCGTCGCGTGAGAATAACTTTGTACTAACTGCCATTTTCCAAAAAATAAAATGATACAGTATGTGTAATCCCATGCATATTCAAATTATATGCCCTCAATTACTCTTTGTATTATGGATTCTCATTGGATTATTCATGGCCACATGATATGAAATAGAATTACTAATTTCCTCGAAAACCTAAATCCTCGCTATCAGGGAAGATGAAAAGTACAAATGACCAGTTAATTAGATCATGTGAGCAGTCAAAAGTACCCTTTATCTTCCCTGCTACCAGGTCTTATAGGGGTTTGAATGGCCAAATGCAATAGAAATGCATATACGAAGCTGTCATCATTAAATGTTGAAAATGAAAGACTACTTATTTGTTTCTTCAAATAGAGTACATAATATTCATATTTTGCACTACATTGCTCAAAGGCAATCACTGTCTGTATACTATTGAAATCTCTTTCAAAATGATGTTTTATAGTTTGTGGAAAAAAGCTAAATCTATTTAAACTACCTTTAACTTTTACTGACCATACACTATATCAATAAGGAGTTATCTTTATGTTAGTATAGTCCCTTAAAACACTTATTTTATTTTCTCTTCATCTATGATTTACTTTGCGCTTTTCACTGAACATCTGGAATCTTTTTAGTTATTTTATTACTAGTATGTTTTTCAGATTTGTCCTTTCTTTTGCATTTTTGGGATCATTGTTTTTAGATCATCTACATTTTATTTTGGAAAAGTAACAAATTGGTTCAATTTCTTTACAAAGAGCCACTCTTAGTCTCCACTTCTACAATTGCTTCAATTCCCAATTGTACTCCACAGAGTAGCAAACAACAGAAAATGAATGGATAATGATAGCTGCATCCCAATGAACAAAATGTGATTACCTAAATCGAGGTTTCATCACTTTCATTAATCTAAAATGAATTAGAATTTATTCTTCTATTTTCAAATTTCTTCCATGTGCATGTAATAAAAATTGGTTATGTCTTAGGCCCTAAGGATCTGAAACCTGCTGGTCAAAATGGAATTACGGACCAGTTGCAATGTTATTCTCCTATACCCAGTGAAAAAATCAACTGGTCTGTATCAAAAATAACCTGATAATGACCAGCGGACCGGCCCTCAGGGGCTACATTGTAATGTGCTGGGAGGTTTAGGCTACAGGGTTTATACCGAGGGAAATATGTGGGGGACCGTATTGGCATCATTGGTTTCAATGCATTGTACTTCTGCCTTAGTTTCAAAGGCAATAAATTCTTTTTGAAGGGTGTCCTGAGATTCCAAAATTAAGAAATAATTGTACTTATTTGAGAAATTGATTTTAAAGTTTTATAAATTGAATTTTCTTTATTTTATTAAATAATATTCTTTGGTTTTTGAAGACTTTTTTACAAAGCAAAACATTATTTTTCATTCTAGATACAATAACATGCATATTGGCATACTTTGTTTTAATATAAGATTGTTATAACTCCAAGTTTTGCAAGTCACATGACCAATTCTTAGAGAGTTGATTGGTTGAAACAGTTGATATCAGATATGACAATTTGAAATTAGAAATAAGCTGTTATTCTGGTGGGAAATTGTATCAACTCCATTTCCATAGTTTTAAAAAAGGATCTTGTAAATTGTTTCAAGGTATGATATTTCATATAAGATATCTCTAGGGTGAGACCAGGTGACATACAAAAAATCAAGTTTCACATAGCAATACTAAGTAAGATACAGACCTCTAAACTTTCAAACCTTGATTTCTCAGTTCCGTAAAAATGTGAGATAGTACAAAGTTATTCTCATGCGACGATGTATACAAACTTCTTATCGATCTTACACTATGAAACAATATGATTTTTATCAGAACATCATTGAATAAATTAGATAATGAAAACCATCTTACCTCCAGGATTAATTGAACTCCTGATGTCACCACAGTTAAGGACTGCCAAGGAAACGTTATTCCACGAGCTGTCAGTTGGAGAGAGGACATTCTTGTCAACGAGTGCATCTGTGTAGAAATCACCGAGACTACATTCAGCATACCTAAACACATTAAATCTTAAAAATCATCTGGATCTTCTTGTAAATGAAACGTTGTTAAATTTCAAAAGGCTTTCATAACGATCATTATGAATAAAACAAATGGGAGAAGGTCGTAGCGATGCTAAATACACCATTGTAGATTTGTTCTTTCTAAGAAATATGATTTAGAAAAAATGTGATCAAAGTTATTTATGCGCAAGACTAGAGTTCGCTTTCTACAAGTCCATGCTTTAAAGTATACTGAGATATGTCGTAATCAACAACAACATTTGTCTGTTCATTTTGTTGTCTCGTTTTCTATAATCATATACATTTTCTATTAAGTAATATATGATTACAAGCATATAACGAGTTTATTTGATCCGTGATTATTTAACTTGATCGAGTGCCTTTGTTACATACCTACAACGAGACCAGTGTCCGTCTAGTAAAACATTTGAAAAACCAACTTTTGTGTTTTTGAATGCAACCAACTTTTCAACATATGGCGCCATCTTTTGGATCATGGTAGGATCTGAAAGAAATGGAAAACACATTGAGAAAGTAAAAGCTGACAAGTTAGAACACGCGAAGCAAACCGAGCATCCAAACGTTTGATCCACTTTTAGAGTATACGGAATGACCCCGCCTTGTAACACGCAGATCAAGGCAATGTCCTACATACAATGTTTTCCACAACGCTCTACGCATCTTTGTTTCAGGAACGTGTTTTTGAGAAACCTCTAAAAAATCATCATGATGTAATGTACATGAAAGCTACTTTTAATATGAAGCTTTTGTGTCTATAAGTTACATGCTAATCAAATATTATTCCCTCTTTATAAATACCTTCAGCAATGGACCCATTTAGGTATATTGGGTTTCCACCCCATGATGTCACAACTCCATTGTCGTCAAATGAGACCTTTAAGTAGCCTAGGTATTTTCCATAATGATAATCCTGCACAGCCAGAACTTTAGCTCCTGAGTCCTGTGTCACTATGGTCGGATATGGCCCTTCGAGCTCTCCATCCTCTGGCGTCCCTGGTACAGGACCTTTAATTAAATGTATTTTCAATTGAAAATTGTTTCAAGATGGCGTGGGTGTTTATCAAGTTGTCACATACTGTATGTTTCCGATTGCCGACGTCCTTCAGTAATGCCTTGGTCACAAACATGTATGCTCCGATCCATTGGCCGGCGCCCGGCTGATTGGGTGTTTTGTACAATATTGTATTCAATTTTGAACAAAATACTAAATCGGCCGAGCGCCGAAGTGAACATCGGAGCAAATGTGACCAAGGCATAACATGTGTGTAATACATGCGTTCACTTGCTTTAGTCTCAGTTATCACAGATCACAGAGGTCTTAGACAGTTTTCTCTTTATTTTTAGAGGATTCACCAGTCAAAATACTTCATTACTTCATTACTTAGCATTTAAATTGTTAGCATTCTCTTCAATATAATAACAATAGTCCGCAGATGCATGGATACATTTGACTTAATCGTATGTTTACAAAACGAGGCTGCAGATTATTTTGATTTGGCAAAATAAAATCCATTCATCAAATCAAGCTCCAAAGCCATGATAAACCCCCAATAATTAAAACCCCCACCAAAAGCTGGATGATTGCAACTGGAAATATAGAAATGCCGGCCAAGTACAAATTTCATCAAGCCAAATGTTGCCAGCATTAATAAAGATAAATTCCTTATCAAAAATGACATACAGATTAAAAATGCAGAACAATACGTATATATGCATTTTATATTACCGTTATACAGAAAAGTATTGGTGTGTCCTCCAACAACAATATCGATTCCTGTAACTTTCTCAGCAATCTCGAGATCTTTTTCCCAA